TCCAAATCCCTTGTTTCCACCTGCCACAGTGGGATCCAATCCCATGGCACTCGAAGATCTCAATGTTCTCAAAAAAGCTGACCTGCCATGGGAAGCAGGGCTCAATAATAGTAAGTCACTGGGGCAACAGTCCCAAGTAGAACGCGGTTTGCTTGTCAGAGACTTCTTGTCTGTGATGCCAGCGTCTAAGATTGGAAAAGCTAAAAACTGCGGCACCAGTCATCACTTGACCAGCTTGAGGAGGTGCCAGTCCGGTGCTAAACAAACATCCTGGACATCCTGGCCGACTTTTAGGCACCCCGATATCAAGACACCTCATACATCCTCATACCATCTAAACTCTAAACATTACAAAACACATCAGCTGGGGAGTTGAGGTCGTCTTTTTGCGCCGAACAAAAATGGAAACAAACAAAGAAGCTACTAGGAACAAAGGGCATCGCTACTAGTAGCAAGGACGCTACTAGTAGCTCCTGGCATCGCTTACTAGTAACAAGAAGCTACTAGTAGACTCAAAGTTGTGAAATCTGCAGGATTCGCCTTCTTCGGGCCAAAGCTTTTGCTCCGTGAGCCGTCCTGATCAGTGATGCGGCAGCGGCTACATGGACGAAGCTTTGTGAGCTCAAAAACCTGGAAAACGAAGTGTCGGTGTGGCTATGCGTGATTGGACCAAAAAGAGATCCAACATTTCAGTTTGAACGCCACAGTAATGAGGTCTTCAAATGTCATCTCATGAAAAGCACCCAAATTTTGGAGAGTCTCGCGACGGCGAGTTGCAAGACGAAACCCTGGAACCGATCTCGCGTACCGAGCTCCGAAGACAAACAAGAGCCCCATGTGCTGTACCAATTGGACAACTTGTGTTATTCTTGTTTTTAGCCGCTCCTACTTAGTCATACTTGCAGTAATTAAGAAAGGGAGTAAGCTTCCAGCTACTTGAGCTACTACCTACTGGACGCAGGATAGCTTCCGCACTAATGATTTGGTTCTTAGACTTTTAGGGAAACCTTGGGGTGTGCGCTTGCAGACTTCAGGTTGTAATACCTCAAACTGCGGTGCCACACTGGTCGTGGCTCCATGTCGCTCCTCCATGTCATGACTTGCTACAAGCAAATACAAGCAATGGCCTCCAACCTAAGAGCGATGGCCTCCAGCTCAGTGGAGATTGCCTCCAACCTAATAGCGATGGCCTCCAACCTACGAGCGATGGCCTCCAACCTACGAGCGATGGCCTCCACCCTGGTAGCGATGGCCTCCAACCTAATCAAGAGCGATGGCCTCCAACAATATAGTGCATCAAAAATCATCAAAGGTCTCTTGACGTTCGACGAGTCCACACCTTGCGACCTTGTGATGTTCGACGAGTCGACAAAATCCTCCAACCTTTGCCCTGTCCGTCTTCCCCATCTCACCGCGCGCAGCGCGCACCGAGAGCAAGATGGAACGCTCAGCCGAGGCGGTGCGGTTGAAAAAGGGTGACCTGGGCTGGTCTGCTCAGCACCGTTTGGGTGGAAGCCTGTCAGGATCTGCTTGAGTGTAGCCAGTTGGGTACCCAAAGGAAGCACGTGGTCGGGTAAACTAAGTAAACATCCTGACACATGGCACTGTGGGAAGTGAGATACACCAGGCTAGATGCGACGAAAGGCAATTGTGCCAGCCCAACCGCGTGTTTGCAGTCTCGGAACTTTATTCTTGTGCTTGGAGAGTTGCACACCGTTTTCCGGTCCCACGATGTCTTCCCAATCATTCAATCACACGCTTTGGCAGCTCGGAAGGGCAACTTGCTGCTTGGTGCTTGAGCTTCTCACGGGCCCAATGAATGATTCTTCTTCCACAAATCAATGGCAAAGAATGTTGCTCTCGCCGATTGGCCACCAACAATCCGGTCGTTGTGTCTTGCTTGCTTTCTGGTGTCACGACCAAACGACTTCAGGGATGGAAACACTGGAACTCGAAAATCAATAGACGGAGAACATTTGAACCAAGCAAATCCCACAGGCAAAAAGAACAACGTGAATGTTTCACAACAGGCCTCTGTGCAAGCTGCTGGGTGCTCTACCTGTCATTCCCATCAAGTTGGATCTCTTCGGATGAGTCCTCTTTCAGCAGTTGTTAGCAGTCATAATACTGTAACCCCTTTTATTAAGTATGTTGGAGGCCATCGCTAGCAGGTTGGAGGCAATGGCTTTTAGAATATTACTTTGTTTTTATCGTCTACCCCTTTTACTCACCACGGATCCTGTCGAATGGAGCAGCCCTGAATCAGACTTGTTGCTGGAACACCGGAGGCCAACCAGCTTCTGAGGTTGGCGGCTCCTGATCGGGGGATCCGAGTGAGGGCCCGACAGAACATCTTGAACTCAAAGGATTGAAATGGTGAATGTCAGACAGATTGAGGGCCCGGCATTCTAGAGACATTCTAGAGACATGGACTTTGAGTTCTTTGAGATAGACCGGATTAGACCGGTGTGTTCCGGCAGATCTATCAGTTCTTGAATGCGCCCACGTCTGGTCGATGCGGTAAGGCAGTTTCAAACAATATAGAGGCATTCGGGGAGATTGGATCAGGGCTAGGGATTCTTTGCAAGTGAACAACATGGGCAGTTTACAAGCCCAATATTAAGATAACAAGTTGGCTAGTTCATAAAGTCACAGGTGGGGAGTACTCCAAGACTCCAAGAGGGCATCGGAATGAGTCAGGTATAGTCAGGTAAACTTGGAAATCCAGAGGGGTGATGAATATGTTTCTACATTATGTTTCTACAAACGCCCAACCCTGGATCTGATTGCCAAGTCCAACAGTCAAACATGTTACAAAAAATCAAACAGTATATTTGATGAAAAGCCTTCATACAGCACGATCCAGATATGTCTTCTTTCAGCGCAAAGAGTTTCTTAAGGCCTTTGCCCTTCGGCGGGGAACCCACGACGATGCCTCCAAGCACCGAGATGCACGAGACCGCCAACAGTTGGCCAATCTTCTTTGGGCAAGTCGTGGCAAGACTGTACTAGCCAAGTAACCCAAGTCCGCCGACCCCGTTCTAGCACCGAGAGCGTGAGCGTGAGCGGAACTGAGACGGCGTGTTCCTAAGAATAGTTCGGTATAGGTCCTAGGTATAGCTGGGGCTTGTCCATCAACCAGCTCAGCGCTTTGCGAATTTTTGACAAGTGTTTGACAAATTTTTGACAAGTCTTGGGCATTGGTCATGTTTGAAAAGGAGTGGGGGCCGTCAGGGTTTTTTTCGCGGTACAGGCGGTGTCCAGGCTGGGGTCCCGGGTTCGACTCCCCCCTGCGCACCCCCTGGACCTGGTGTGGAAAACGAGGCAACCCCAATCTTGCATAGTGGTCCGCGCGCGTGGGGCCCCTCCAGGCAGAGCCTCGACCTGCCAACGGTTAAAATATTCTAGTACGATTATTGGGTTGCTGTATTAGTTTCTGATGCTTCGATGGAAAAAACAAAGGTAGTTGTCAGAAACGGTTGAGGTTGAACAGCAGAACAACGCCAAGTAGTATCTGCTAAACCCAGAACCTGGAAATAGTTGAGGTAAAGCCAGATTCAGGAGAATGTGGAGTGTGCACCGACAAGTTTTGGGGTACCATAGGAATAAGCGTTCGAAACTGTTCGAACCCGTAAAAAGCATAAAACCGTTCAAGCCCCCGCGCTATTGCCTCCGCCCGCGGCCGCTCTGGGGTCAGCGGCCGCGGGCGGTAGAACTTCAATATACTCAATATATATATATATATAGATGGGTATATGATCAAAGGCGGGATCACTCAGAAGGAAGAGTAGACTTGACATGGTGTCTGCGGTGTCTCGATCTTATTAACTAGCACCGGCACCAGCCCCAAAGCCGCTACAGCACCAGTCCTCCGGCTCATCCTCCTCGCTGAAGTCGGCGGAGGGCGGAGCACAGGGTGCCTGGCCGTTTCCCCAGGCAACGGCCAGTCAAGCCCCAGTGAATGTTGTAGCAGTGAAAAGGAAAATCACCCCAAAAAGCTATTGAACATGTTTGGAACTTAAAACGTTGGCCCCTGGAAGGTCAAGTTTAAGAAGTAGTCCTGTAAAAATGCAGTTCTGATCTTGCTCAGTTTTCACAGTACAAACGCCAAAGGTGAACTACCGGGTGGTCACCATGGTTTTGTCTCAAAGACCTTGGCAATCACAACTGTGAACATCCAGGACTCCAACTATGGCATTTCCATGCCTGTCCTTTTCTGGCCATGCATGTTCGCGTTTTTCTCACTCTCTTACATACCATGCAAGCGTGTTTCTTTTTCTTGCCGTATCTTGTTCCTGCATCATTGGGGCCAACTAAAATGTGCCTCAGTATCAGGTCATTTCAAGAAAGAAAGACAGAAAGGTCTATTTCGGATCATTTTGGTGCATTGGGGAAGGGCCAAACGGAGAGAAAATGAAAAGCAGCCGAAATGTTCCAAAAATAGTTCGAGAAACTAAGCGCTTGTAAAGGGAATCCATGAGGATCGATTCGCGAGGCACAGCGTGGACCCTGCAGTCCTTCCATTCGTCGACCCGACACCCGCACGCTCTTCCAAGGCCCCAGCCCGAGGGATGGTGTAGCCGCCAGTAAACATCTCCTGTCTGCGCAGCTGCTCATGTCCTTCGTGATCCGCATGAAACGACGTTGTAGCAAGTCTTACCTATAGGTTGGAGGCCATCTGTGAGCCTAAGTAGCCTTGCCCGTAAACATGTTTATGTGTGTGTGTTTCACTTGTGCATGAACTGTTTTTGGCTCAAGGGCCAATACTTTTGGCTCAAGTGAGTGGCTAGGAGTAGTGCAAGTAGCTTCTCAGCTTCACTAGGCCGTTTCACCGTCTCACCAGCGTGACTGACCCGCGACCTCGCTCGTGCGAGCAGAAACAGCTGCGCGGCGTTCGTACGCGTGCTCGCAATTGGGGGCTGTTCTGGGAAACTTCCATCTGTGTGTGGAGGCTGGTCGCGGTCGGTGGTTGCGGTTCGCACCACCGGCGCGCTGGTGAGGAGGAACCGCGGGCGGGGCTCGTGGTTCACGGCCTTGCTGCGGGATGAGCCGAGAAGTTGCAGGAGAAGAAGAGGGCGTCACTCTGCTGGAAGCGATCCGGGATGGAAGGGTGCCTACCCCGGAAGAGATGACGTTCCCTCGGTGGCAGGCTTGGCGACGTGCCGCCGGCCGTAGGCCCACAAGGAGAAGGGACGGCAGAGGCCTGCCGACAGGTGAAGAAGTAGCCCTCTGGAGGAGCGTCATGGATGAGCTCTATGGCGAGGGCAGGGCGGCGGAACTTGACGAGGGCGATGAAGAGGAGGAGGAAGAGAGGCCGTCGGCGTCGGCCTCCCCTTCTGTTGCGTCTCGTGAGGTCGCCTTGGTGAATAGCCCACGCCCGTCTTCAGTTGGCACTGGAGGAGTCAGCGTGGTGAGCCTTCGGGCCAAGTTGCAAGCGTTGTATGACCCTTCGGCAGAGGAATTCGGGGCGTACCTGATGCGTATGGGACGAATCATCTCCGCTCTCCAAGCCTTGGACGCAGCTGTTCCGCCGGGTCTGTTAGAGACAGTGACAAGAAAGGCGGAATTCATGATCGAACTGTATGGTGAGCATGGGGGTTTGGACAAAGTGAGAGCTGTGCGTTTCTTGCGAGACAAGTTCGTAGCTTACGCGCAGGATGAGACCTTAGACCCTCGAGAGAGAGACAGTTCGATCGCCGCGATCGGTGAGTTGATTGAACAATTAGGAGGGAAACCAAGTTCGAGCCCAGGAAAGGTGTATAGTACTCCGTCTGGAGCGGAGGAAGCAACGGTTCCTGTGGCTCGCGGTCCCGTCAGCGGTCTTCGCGACGTTGGACGCGGCCAACGACCGGCGCCCGGTCCCGCTCCTAGTTCGGGACCGGAACAAGATGGGGATTTCTCCCTCAGGGCCAAGCTGGCAGCTCTGGAGATGGAGCTGGAGGCCATGAAACGAGAGAAAGCCGAATCAGAGGCCGGTTCAGCGTTGGGATCGGAGCAGGGCTTAGCAGCCGCCTTGGCCCAACAGAAGGCAGCGCTGGAGGCACAAACAAAGGTGCTCCAGGAAGCGTTGGGACGAGGCGGAGGCAACCAGTCTGTCACCGCGGTCAAAACAGACCTTCATTGGCCGACCTTGACAGACGAGCGCTCTGACTTCAAGGATGTCACCTTGTTCTATGAGGAGTTCGAGGATGTGTGCGCCTTAGCGAACTCCTGCCGTGGAATGAATGCCCGCGAGAAACTGCTGGCTCTCCGAGCGCGCTGCCGGGGAAGTAGGCTGAAGACCTACCAGAACCTGTACCGGTCCGCCTGGAAGTCCGGAGAGGTCCTGGAAGACCCCGAAGCAGTGTATGAGCGCATCAAATCGAAACATTTGATGTTTAGTGAAAGCCGAGAAGAGCGAGAGATCCGCGTCGATGCGGAGCATGTCGCGCTCATGAAGGGGAAGCTCACTGGTCACCAGTTCGAACCTTTGTTCGAAGCGTCGGTGGCGGAATTGGAAGCTGTGGGTCTTGGAAAGACGCAGCGAGAGCTTTTCCTCTCCTACTTGAGGAAGGTTGGGACCAGTCTCCAACGGGAGATTCGATCCGACAAGCGGCTTTGGGGACACGAAGACAAGCTCCGAGGGCCGCAGACCTGGGAGGAGGCTCATCGGGTCGTCCTCGAGTATGAGCAGCGAGAAGCGACTAACAAGGCCACCGCCAACGCCGTGTTCACGACCACCGGCGAAGCCACGCGTCTTGCTGCGGATCTCGCAAAGAAGGAGAAAGCAGAGAAGGCGAAGCGGGACAAGGCCAACAAGGAGGCGAACAAGAGAAAGGGCAGAGGCGATCAGGTGGCGATCACGTCTGGAGATCCCCGCAAGGACAAACTCTGCTGGGATTATCGTGATCACGGGAGCTGCAGAAAGGGTCGCGATTGTCCTTTCTCGCACGACAAAGAGCTGCGTAGGAAGGAGCTTGAAAAGAAAGGCAAAGGGAAAGGGTCCGACTCCTATCCGGCGAAAGGCGACGGAAAAGGAGGTAAAGGGAAAGGCAAAGGAGGGAAGGGCAAGGCTGGAGACGCTAAGAAAAAGAAGAGCGAGAAGCAGTGCCCTTACTTTGCTAAGAACGGCGCGTGCAAGAAAGGCGCTGACTGTGACATGTCGCATGTTTTGGCAACCGATGTCGGCGCTACGGGCTCGGGAGGTGGACAAGGTTCCGCTCCAAGTGGGTGGGCAGCTCCAAGCGGGAACAGCGTGCTCAATCCGTTCGCCGCGTTCTGTGTGGTGACGGGTGGTTTAGAGCAGGCTCTGCGGGTGCGGACGTCGTGTTCGCGTCCGCGCCGCGGAGTTCATCCCCTGGAGTTCCAAAGAAGGGACCCTTCACCGAATTGGACGAGCTCCCAAAGGATTGGTGGGAATGAGCCTGGCGGTTATCAATACCGCGCCGTCGTGCAAATCCTTGATAAGAAGGTTGACACGATGTTGGACGGATGCGCTGGGTCCAATCACATCACGGAAGAGCTGGTGGTCGGGATCATCAATCGGGCTGCGGAGCTAGGCTTGCGCCCAAATGACAAGAACTTTCCGATCATTCAGTTCGAAAAAATGGCTGTATCCAGAGTACGTGCATGGGATTGCGAGCGGCTCACCCGTGCCGCTCAAGGGTGGCGTGGTTCTCCGCGTCCGTCTTCTTGAAGGGGACAACCCGGATCGGGCGAAGCCGGGACATGAGCTGTTCGTGAGGTGCAAGATCGCGTCAAAGGGGACTAGCGATTTCCATGGTTTGATCCTTGGGGGCCGCGCGTTGGATTGCGAAGCGCGACGTGGGCTAGGTTTTCGACCTGGGCCCATGACCCATGTGCTGGACTCTCTAGGTGTGCATCTCCCGCGCTGTGAGAACTTCAGTGCGGAGAGGAAGGACAGAGCCTATCCTTTCCGGTCCATCCTCTCGGCAGTAGACCAGGAGGCTGAGGGACATCTGGAGCCGGAGACCGGGCCAAGGGCCATGGTAGTCTATGCAGGTGATGGAGGAGCGACGCTGCTTCCTGGGGAAGGCGCTCTCCTTCCCGTGCGAATTGCTGGCAACTGGACGCCGGAAGTTACGAGCTGTGAAGTGGTCCTTCCAGTTGCCGGCAAGGTGGAAGCAGTTCCCGGCATCTGGGACACAGGGGCTCGTGAAGGCATGGTCCTGGTCACGCCATACCAGGAAGAGGTCGTCCTTGAAGAAGGCGATCCAGTCGGAGAGCTCCGGGCAGGTGCAGTAGTCAGTGGGACTTGTTCTTGCGGAGCTGTCGACACAGTTTTCGTGAGCCAGACGGCCGGCCTAGAGCCGGACACCTGCCAGGAATGCGGATTGGAACAGCCCAGCCTCATTGGTTCAGTCTGCTATTCGTGCGGTCGGAAGGGAGAGATCAAGAGCACTCCACTCCAGGGGTGCAAGTGTCGCGCGAAAACACCTAGGAAGGCGCGTGAGTCAAGGAAGGGATATGGAGTGTTCGCCACGTTCGCGGTTGGTCTAGCTGCGCTCACTGCGGCGTACGCATTTGACCCGTCGCAATATGAGTCAAAGAGCTGGTCGCGGGCGGGGGCCTCGTTTTTGAGCCTTCGTCGCGAAGAATCGCGGGCGAGGACTTCGTTTTCGAATCCTCGTCGCGACGAAGTGTGGGCCACCTTCCCCGGTGGTTGGGTGCGAACGCACCCGGAGGCCAGGGAGAAGCTGTTTGAGTTTAGTGAAGAAGCGTCGGCCCCACTCACGCTGAATGTCGACCAGCTGGATTCTCGAAGGGTCACGACAGGTCAGTTTTTGGATGGAGAGTCTCTCTTTTGGGAAGACTCGTGGCGTGAAGGCGACCCGTGGGTCTTTAAGGGACGTCCATGGGTAGGAGAAACCCGTTTCTACGCGGTGGGTCATGGTTCTGGAGGAGCACCATGACCGAGCCAGTGTTTCACATAGTGGAGGCGCCAGGCGGAATCGACAAGATGGCAGAGGAAACGCCAACGGAGCGCTACTGCGATGCGCTCAGGAGGTGTCTGGAGAAGCGTTTTCCCAAGGCCAACCAATTCCTCCTGGATCACCTGATTTCGCTTGAAGCATTTTTGGACAAGTCGATCGTTTTTGGTTTCAGCTACGGGGTGGCTAAGGCGGAGATCTGCAAGGAAGGTGGCAAGCTGTTGGGACACATCGTTGGGAGGAATGGCAGCGAACCAGACCCTGAGCGAGCTAAGGCCGTAATGGACTTTGCACCGCTCAGAGAGAAACTCCATATCCAGCGATTTCTTGGATGCTCCAATTGGTTGCGCATGTACCTCCCCGCGGAGTACGGTGTTTGTTCCAAAATTTTGATGAAGGGAAAACGGAGGGTGTGTGCGGACAGGGGGTGAGTCAAAATTGTTTCTGCGAAGTTAGTGCGTGAAAAAAACCTGCCGCGAACTTCTGCGAAGGTTTCCGGGTTCCCGCTGGGGTTAGTGTTCTGGGGGGTTTTTGATCGAGAGAGTGGAGGCTGCCTAGATATTTACACCACGCGTCAATCCTCACCCGCCACTCACTCATGGTGGATGGCTTCTCGTGATCCTATTTCCATATGTCTGTTGGTGGTACCACGGAGGGTGGCTTTTGGACCAGACTTGAGAACCCAAACAGTGTTTGGAACAACTTTAACGTGTTGGGTCCTGAACTCTTTCCTTCAGAGATTCACTGAAGTTAAGAAGACAACCACTCTTGACTACTAGAAGGTTTCGGGGCCGAATGTGCGCGGGCTGACCGGCTTGGCGGCAATAGTCAGGACCGGTACCCTTTCGGGTGAATACACCTAACTTGAAGGCATTTGGATCACCGAGGGCCACAGTTTGACGATACCCACAAAACAGGAGCCGGCTTAAACGGCAACAGGCACTCGCTGAGATCGAATCTGTCGCTTCTTTTTTCGAATCTGGCTGGACTGGATCCCTCGGAGATCAACCAGATGCAGCATGGCCCGTCCTCCGGAGCGGTTGCAGTGGCAAGCTGTGTCGCAACACAACATAGCTGTGACACTCATGCGACAACGTTGCAAAAAGAACACCTTTCCTGGATTTTGTTCTCGTCTTGATATCGCTGCGAAATGAACAAAACGTATCAGTGAAAAAACAAGACAATATGAACGGACAGTGTCACAGCAGTTGCAACCATAGATAGGTTATGGTACCCTCCTAGAAACATGCTAAAAGGTTATGTGAGGTTAAATTTTTGGGATCACCCACGCTGGAGCAGTGGCACCCTGCAGCCATACCATTGCCCAAGCTCCCAAGACCACACAGCAGACGCGCCAGCACGCAAGTTCCTTATGCGCAGCGGCACCACCACCAAAGCTCACAAGCGCACGAGGCAGCGGCACCCTGCAGCGGCACCAGCGCCCAAGGACACCCGGAGAGCGCGCTGCGCGCCTGTGCCTGGACCAGCGTGCCCCTGCCACAGGGTCCACAGTCTCTTTGAAAAGAGTTGACCAAACTACACTGTTCTTCTTAGCGGATAGACACTCCCCGAGCACGCCACTAGCGTGCTGCCTTCACATTCCAGAGCGCGCCTGAGCGCGCTCTCAAAACACTCTGCCGCTGCCTTCACATTGCAGAGCGCGCCTGAGCGCGCGCTCCAAAACACTCTCCCCGAGCGCGCTGGAGCGCGCTGCCTTCACATGGTGCAGAGCGCGCCGGAGCGCGCGCTCCAAAGCACTCTCCCCGAGCGCGCCTGGAGCGCGCTGCCATCACATAGTGCAGAGCGCGCCTGAGCGCACCCTCCAAAGCACTCTCCCCGAGCGCTCCTAGAGCGTGCTGCTATCGCAATGCAGAGCGTGCCTGAGCGCGCGCTCCAAAGCACCCTCCCCAAGCGCGCAGAGCGCGCGCTTCAAAGCACCCTCCCCGAGCGCGCCTGGAGCGCGCTGCCATCACAATG